TTGCAGACGGTTGTGCACCAAGTAGTGTCCTATCAGTGCATACAGTTGCCTGATCATTGTCCCCTCGAACTGCAGACGGTTGTGCAGCGAGTATTGTCCTATCAGTGCATACAGTTGCCTGATCATTGTCCCCTCGAACTGCAGACGGTTGTGCAGCGAGTATTGTCGAGCCGAGCCCATACAGTTGGTGTCCTCGGACTCATTTACACTCTTTAAAACCATACCCTGGTATCCCCGAGGCCTATCTTTAGGTAGTTCTAAACTATCTGTAGTTCCGAGGACGTCCTAATAAGACTCCCTACGAACGGTTTCTTCAACATTACCTGAGAGGATTCAATCTTAGTCGTATATTTCGGCGTAGACCTGAACTCAAATCATTGGCACTGTGTATTGGTTGTGTGGTGTGTGTGTGTTGGTTGTTTGAGTGGTGTTCATAGCATCCCTCGAGTCAGTCAGTTAGGTCACAGCCGTACGCAGGTGCACCGTTTCAACGGATGCAGAGCAAATGAAGACCACCTAGACAGTGATGATGAGGAGCAAGGTAGTGCAGGTGATAGAAAGCGGCTAGCAGCAGATATCAAGAAATGGCATCAGCAACAACAGGATATCTGTCCTCAGGTCATCCCACTTGTTGGGGCAGAGCCCTACACATCCCCTGAACTGGATAAACTTTTCTTACCATCTGACTTTACTAGTGCAGAGCGAGCTGAACTGGGACTAGAGGCCTTGGGAGCAGAGGAGCTCAAATTGCGGCAAGGTCAAGCAAATGATGCTCTGCGTAGCTTGCGCGAGCACATCTAGCATAGCCAGGCTCTCAGACAGCACAAAAATGCTCGCAATAACACTGTTTGGGGTCAAGCTAAAAACACACGTGCAGTTAAAAAAATCAGAGATATTCAAACAAGAATCAATAAATATGTCAAAAAATATCGACATGCTCGCAATGCGATGATTGCACTTGGATGCGACTCACAAGACCCAAAGTTTGGGTTTCCTGAACTCAAGGATGAGGACCTCTACACAAAAAGAGTTGATGAGCCACACAACGTGGGTGATGGTGCAAAGACAGAAGGTTGGATTTGGCGACAGGGTTATTATGGAAACTTGACAGATGAAGAAGAAGCCAAATATGTGCAAGATTGTAAGTTTCTCTATCTCATTTGTCGACCATTCAAGTTCACTGTTATATAGCTGCAAAAGCACAGTGGCACCGTGCTCGGGCAGATATGGAGCGATGGCAAGAAGAGCTCGAAATTGTTGGGCAGGAGTTTCGCCGTGCAGTACAGGGATTCAACAAAATGCACTCAGTCTGGACTGCACTTGCTGATGACCATGAAAACGACCCAGGAAGAAAGGCTTATGCATCAAAGGTGGCAAGCATGTATGAACAGATGGAGAAGAATATGTGTCAACAGTTTGAGAAGGTTGGTGGTACTTGGCCCAAGGTTGGAGTCAGTCTGGCACAACATATCAAGTCTGAGCGGCCGGATCCCAGTATTGATTGGACAGCTGATGTAGAATAGGATGGCTGAATGTACTTGTTTATTTCAATCAAAATTTCTGATCAAAGAACTCAATCAAATTTCGCTGTTTTGAATTAACTTTTTTTTTTCTCTTTTGGTTCACCCACAACATGGCTTAAGCCACAGTCTGTCTCAAACAACACATGCACACCTTATAGAGAGTCAGTCTGCCTATAGATCTGGCTTAAGCCATGTTGACGTTGGCAACGTTGTGGCTTAAGCTCAAGCCGCCCTACAGTACCTTCAAATTCCCCAACACCTCAAGTACTGGCAAAATCCTATCAAGATTTGTTTCCACGGCAAATTACATCGCATCGATCCTATTTCTTCTTTGTGCCGCTGGACTGCTCTGCTCGAGACTCCTAATCCGGCCCCGAAACACTTTGCTCTGTTTGTTTTCACCGTCAAAGCAATATACTGACCGCCTGTCCTCTGGATCTACTCAATTGCCTCCTTCTCGGGCCCGACAGCCAATTCGCCCGCACGTGCATTGGGAGCAATTTCTGGTTTTACAGCTCGAGAACCACCTCTCCTCATTCTTTGCTTAACTAGGCATGGTCACCGTTTTTCTCTTCTCCGACTTCAGCTCCTGATGGTCTGCTTCTCCGCACTCGTTGGATTTAACACATTCTATATCAACCTCTGTAACGGCAAACCGTATGCTGCGATGTTGTATTTCGATAATTTCAGTTACCATTGATTGCACGGGTTGGCGGAGCGAAGTGGTGACGCATCTTGTATTAATTAGAGCTTGTCCCAGAGACCTCGCTCGTTGCTGGTGGAATGCGAGGCCATCCCTTGAACTCGAGTCTTCTCCTTCGCCAGTGGGCATACTTCCTGATGACGCTACGAATCAGCGCGGATTCCTCACGCTTAATACGACGACAATGTAGCGAGACATTTACTTATGCAAACCTAACTTCGTGTCATAACCGAATTTTCCATCGGAGTCTACATACGAATGAAGCTGAGCATCAAACAAACTCTTTTAACCTGATTCGAATCCAACCGGAGCCTCCCTTCAGCAAGTGCACTCCACCAGGTCACTCCAAATATCTACGTAACCTGTACTTTAAGCTTGAATTCCGTGTCGAAACCAGAACCAAAACTAAAAGCTTCCTTCGCCGATCGCTGATGACCTGACCCTGAATCGAACGAGGCTCTGCTGAAACAGAGGTTGATATAGAATGTGTTAAATCCAACGAGTGCGGAGAAGCAGACCATCAGGAGCTGAAGTCGGAGAAGAGAAAAACGGTGACCATGCCTAGTTAAGCAAAGAATGAGGAGAGGTGGTTCTCGAGCTGTAAAACCAGAAATTGCTCCCAATGCACGTGCGGGCGAATTGGCTGTCGGGCCCGAGAAGGAGGCAATTGAGTAGATCCAGAGGACAGGCGGTCAGTATATTGCTTTGACGGTGAAAACAAACAGAGCAAAGTGTTTCGGGGCCGGATTAGGAGTCTCGAGCAGAGCAGTCCAGCGGCACAAAGAAGAAATAGGATCGATGCGATGTAATTTGCCGTGGAAACAAATCTTGATAGGATTTTGCCAGTACTTGAGGTGTTGGGGAATTTGAAGGTACTGTAGGGCGGCTTGAGCTTAAGCCACAACGTTGCCAACGTCAACATGGCTTAAGCCAGATCTATAGGCAGACTGACTCTCTATAAGGTGTGCATGTGTTGTTTGAGACAGACTGTGGCTTAAGCCATGTTGTGGGTGAACCAAAAGAGAAAAAAAAAAGTTAATTCAAAACAGCGAAATTTGATTGAGTTCTTTGATCAGAAATTTTGATTGAAATAAACAAGTACATTCAGCCATCCTATTCTACATCAGCTGTCCAATCAATACTGGGATCCGGCCGCTCAGACTTGATATGTTGTGCCAGACTGACTCCAACCTTGGGCCAAGTACCACCAACCTTCTCAAACTGTTGACACATATTCTTCTCCATCTGTTCATACATGCTTGCCACCTTTGATGCATAAGCCTTTCTTCCTGGGTCGTTTTCATGGTCATCAGCAAGTGCAGTCCAGACTGAGTGCATTTTGTTGAATCCCTGTACTGCACGGCGAAACTCCTGCCCAACAATTTCGAGCTCTTCTTGCCATCGCTCCATATCTGCCCGAGCACGGTGCCACTGTGCTTTTGCAGCTATATAACAGTGAACTTGAATGGTCGACAAATGAGATAGAGAAACTTACAATCTTGCACATATTTGGCTTCTTCTTCATCTGTCAAGTTTCCATAATAACCCTGTCGCCAAATCCAACCTTCTGTCTTTGCACCATCACCCACGTTGTGTGGCTCATCAACTCTTTTTGTGTAGAGGTCCTCATCCTTGAGTTCAGGAAACCCAAACTTTGGGTCTTGTGAGTCGCATCCAAGTGCAATCATCGCATTGCGAGCATGTCGATATTTTTTGACATATTTATTGATTCTTGTTTGAATATCTCTGATTTTTTTAACTGCACGTGTGTTTTTAGCTTGACCCCAAACAGTGTTATTGCGAGCATTTTTGTGCTGTCTGAGAGCCTGGCTATGCTAGATGTGCTCGCGCAAGCTACGCAGAGCATCATTTGCTTGACCTTGCCGCAATTTGAGCTCCTCTGCTCCCAAGGCCTCTAGTCCCAGTTCAGCTCGCTCTGCACTAGTAAAGTCAGATGGTAAGAAAAGTTTATCCAGTTCAGGGGATGTGTAGGGCTCTGCCCCAACAAGTGGGATGACCTGAGGACAGATATCCTGTTGTTGCTGATGCCATTTCTTGATATCTGCTGCTAGCCGCTTTCTATCACCTGCACTACCTTGCTCCTCATCATCACTGTCTAGGTGGTCTTCATTTGCTCTGCATCCGTGGCATGGTGTCCCTGCTGTTGCATGCCTCGCGCTGTGTCTACCTCCCCAACTATGCCGTCAATTCTTCGTCATCTCCGTATTCCCCTCACATCCATCAATACGCAGCTGTGTTACTCACATCAAGCAACTAGCGGCTCCCGCCCAGTGCACGCCAAGGCAATGGTGAGATCTCCAGGTTCAGCCCGGATATAAATGTGATTGATATCACATTGGTAGAGGATGTGGGTCACACAGCTTCATATCTGTATTCCTCCTTCATAATATTTATTATCCCTTTATATCCTGTACAGTAGCAATGCAAAATATGTTTTTTCTGTGATGTGAAAAGAACTGAGCTGAGAAAGGGATGCACTTTTTTTTGGCTGAAGCCGGCTTAAGCATGATGGCTTAAGCTGGCTTAAGTGTGATGGCTTAAGCTGGCTTAAGCGCGATGGCTTAAGCCACGGCTCAAGCCGGCTTAAGCCACGGTTTGAACTCGATCGAAGTCCTGCCAAAGGGAAGCCAAGCTGGCTTGAACCCGGCTTAAGCCAGCAGCTTAAGCCATGCATACCTCCAAGCCTGGGGGATGGCTTAAGTCACCCTCAACGTTGGAGACGATGTGGCTTAAGCTTGAGCCGCACCGTTGCTGACCTGATAGTGGAGTTGCTACCACATCTGCTTCTGTTGACTGGGAATTGAAAATACTATAAACAGGAGGCCCCTGTTCAATCCAGGGTCAGGTCATGGATGCCAGTCGTTTTTTTCTTTCTTCTTTCTTCTTCTTTCCTTTCTTCAAGGCCACCTTTCAAAGAGACACCTATACATACTACATCCCGAGCTGTCTCGAAATGTGCAGCTGTCCACATTCCATAATAATCTATTTTGGATTCAGTGACCGTACTTTGAACACTTATCTCTCTGCTTCAAGTTATACACCTCATTCCCTTGAATTGCAAAGACCTGATGGTGGAGTTGGTGCCACACCTGTTTTAGATTACCTCTACAAAACATATGTTTAGCAGGGGGCCCTCGTTCAATTCGGAGTCAGGGTGCTGCATTTCTCCTTTCGCGGTTTTTTTCCGTGCCCCGGGCTCGTCTACTTGACAAGAGGTTGGACAAATTTAAGAGCGACCTGATAGTGGAATTGGTACCACCCTGCTAGTAATAGACTGTAAGGCTTTTTGAGCAGGAGACCCGCGCATCATCCTTGATGTTGTCTTTAAATTTTGTTTTGCACAAAAACATCAGAATTCTGGGATCTTAGAAAGAAACTGGGCATAAATAGGAAAGACCTAGTAGTGAGTTGGTTCCACGCTTATTTAAAGTCATCGAGATTGTGACTTTCAACAAGAGACCCTCGTTCGATCCGGGGTCAGGTCATGGACGGTGAAGTTGGTATTTTTCCTCTGATTTGAATTTGTGGTTAGTACTTTTTTAAGCTCAGATACAGTTTAGTTGCACATTAGAGAAGCATGAACGTGGTGGATTTCAATTGTGGAATGTACACGGACGGACACGCACAGACGGTATTTTGAATGCGGCCACAATTGCGCCGCGGATTTTGAACGATAACAAAAAAGACTATCCAAGGAGAGATAGGGGGTTGGACTAGCGAGAAAAACCAAACCGCCGCCGAGGAAAATTCAGCAAATAAATTCTGGACAGCCCATCTAAGGATTCATTTCAGTCCTGTGGATCTATGAGTTTACCTAATACCCAGGTGCCTGCTCCGCTCCCCGACCTTGGTTCAACTTCGAGTTGAAATCAACTGGCAACCGAGGCCCGCAAAAAGCCACGTCGGACCCTAATCGGGGGGGTCTGAGGCATGAAAAGCCACGTTATGGCTCAAAAGGAACCTGAAGAAAGCCACGTCAGACCTGAATCGGAGGGGCCGAGGACGTGAAAAGCCAGGTCGTGGCTCGAAATGACGTGAAAAAAGCTATGTCGGCTGAGGATCGGCCAAAAGGGGCGATATTTAAGGCACTAGGGCCATTAAATAGAAACCGACGTGGGGCCATGTTGACGGATCAGATACATAGGGGAATGGCCCAGCCCCGAGTCGAACAGATTACCCTGTGAGCATTGAAAACATGTTGGACATAAATTCAAGGTGTGGACCGTCCACAACCGAGCCGATACTCGCATCCTGAAGTCACTCTTGAATTTATCACTGAGCTCGTGAGTTGAGAATCGGCGTACTGTACCAGTAATATAATTATGAACAACATCTTCATCCTTCCCAGGATTCTGAATCAAGCGTTCGCAATGAGTAAACATCACACGAACTGGAACTGAAGATAAAAAGTAACACGAACTACAAAAAGAAAAGAAAGCACCGTCGCAATGTCATGGCTCAGTCGCACCTGAACGGGCAACCCGCCAGAATTCGCCTTTACCATGGTTGAAGGTGTGGTCGTCCACCCCGAGCCAGTTCAAACCTCATGAGGTAACAACTGGATTTATGTGCCGGACCTTTTAGCTCAGAGTCGGCGGCATCGAGATTATTGGACAGCCTCACTTGCTTCATCTTTCCCTCATGGGGAATCACGAAACAATAAGGGCAGAACACGAAGCAGAATGTAGTTGTAGTACGGATCGATCCAGAGGAAAGATAAAAAATAAACTCAGTACCGTGACTGACAGTGAATGTGGCTCTGTCCTGAGTCGAAAAGGATACCCATCGAATTGCCTTGAAACTCGCTGTGGGCATGAGTCGAAGATGTGGACCGTCCACAACCGAGCTGACATTCATCTGTTCAAATTCTTGACTTTATTAGATGGTACCGGCCGAGGGCTTGAACACCAAACAGACCTCAGAGCTGAATCTTTTGTTTTTTCTTTCATGGATCCAGCTCCCAAAACGGCAGCTATTAGCTTGCGGAAAGGGTATTAGAAATCAAGAACCGTGCCAAAACGACGCAAGAACATTCAAAAAATATGCTCTGAGCCCCATGGCTCGGGTCCGAGTCGAACGGGCTCCTTTCTGAAGAACGATCTCCACATCTACAAGTTGAAGGTGTGGACAGACTACCATCGAGCCGATACCGACCTCCTGCACCTGTTCCATTACCCACCAACGCTTTCGCAGCCTTAGTTGAGCACATTTTGTTCCTAGTTTGAGTTCTCACACGAAAGGATCAGGCCTCTCGAACCCAGATAATTAGGACTCGAGGACGAAGCAGGGCATTTAGTTTCCCAGCTCCCAAGTTCCAATGAAGATTATATTGATATCTACTATAGGGTGAAAAAAAAGAGAGATGGCTCCGGCCCGAGTCGAACGGGCTGCTCGCCACCTGTCCCACATTCGAGTTTTGTGTCTTAGTATTCATCTGAATCAGATCTGTTCACAGGTTTCAGGTAACGACGAACGGTTGGTGATAATACTATCTATTTCGGACGTACCGTGGAGCTTTTGAAAGGATAGAAAGATCTGCCATGTAGAGCTGATAGGTATACAGTGAGTAATTCCCGGGATATAAGGAAAGAGTACGAGGCGTACGGGATTAACATCCGGTTCAAGAAGGATGTTTGCATGAATGTGGGCAGTACATTGTTCAGCTTCCTCTATTTGGGCATCCCAGAAGGCAATAACTTGTAGCGGAGGATCGGGGAATTTCTACGGAATAGGATAAGCACCGTCGTGAGGTACAGTGGCATTTCTTACCTGAAGCCAGCTCACAACATCGGACAAATACTGGTGATTTAGGAGAATGTCATGAAGGTAGCAATGAGACCCCAGATCCGCGGCTAATTCATCACACAGTCGGCCCAGGTGGAGTGATCCTAATTCCTGCAGTAATCGGAGAGTGGCGCGACATTGACGGAGGGCCGTTGTCAGCAGGTTTCTGAGAAATTATGAGCGGGCATCAGCGCTGGGATCGGACCACCCACCTCGATAATACAAAATCCGAATCGCCAGAAAGGACCTCTTTTGCACGACGGATCCATAGAAAGACCACTTCCTCTGCGGTATCCCGAGGGTCGCAATATAGGTCTGCAGCTCTCAAGGAATCAGCTAAAAAATCAAGAGGTGATTCTCCCGTGAGGAGCGGCAAATCAATGGATTTGCGGAATTTGAGAAATGGTCAGAAAACTCGATGCGTTAGGCCACAGAGACGCAAAATGAAAGGCATGGGATCATCAAGATTGGAGAGGACTAGTTGAGCCCTCAGTACGAATAGGATGTCCCGGTGTCGACTAAGGATTTTTGAATATATGGAATCGTATTTCCCAAGCGGAACTGCTCGGTTTGCTGGGAACTGTAGCTCGCATTCAAGATTGTAAATGAAGGAATGGTTTTTCCAGAGTTTGAGTAAATCCACAGGGTACGATGAGTCTCGCTGAGAGTAATGAACACATAAATGAGTGGACCTGTAGCCGAAACGCGACACACTTGCCTGGGGCCACTGCAGAGTAGGATCCATTGCAAGGAAAATATTGTCTTGGAGGTGTTGATTCCGAAGCAGTTTGAACAGCTTCTCTGAGGGTGTGGTATTGGTATTGTCGAGAAGCACAGGCAACTCCTCAACGAGTTCACTGTCAAAATAGTTATGTTTGCGCGAGATGGACGGTTAAGAATCGTACCTATAGAATGCCCGAGCATTGTATGTCAGAGGGGGTGAAGACAGCACTCTAATTGTGGAGTGAAGGTAGTCTATTTCCAGCCACGGCATCGAGATACACCACATTCGAGATCGTCGCTCGTCACATAGGTAATCCGCGAATGATGCGTGTAGAATGAGGATACTGGTCCTCATCGACAATTGTGTTGGTACGGGCGGAATGGAGAACACTGAGTTCAGGCCGCGCAATGTAAGTCGACATGATCCCGGAAGCAGGTTTAGAAGCATGTCAGTTTCTTCTGGACTCATAAAAATGCGGTCCTGCGCACTCCGGAATGTGGGAGCTTTAAATTTTGAGCGGCTTATTGCGTGCAGAATGCGAAGTGTCTGCGGCTCCCGTGGCAACACCGATAGGATTTGTTGGTATAGATCATCCAGGGGAGCAGTGCTTTGTGGGTCCAGGCTCACAACAGACTGTAAGCGGATCGATGGGTGGCTGTATTCATTGTCGATGTACCGAATGACGGTAACCGCATAGATGAATATGCCAGACGATTTCCCAACTAGATGGTCGAGTACGTCCGCGGATGGCCACACAGTTCCGAGATGGACTCCTCTGCGCGAAAACTCGGCATTGATCCTCGCGAATTCGTCGCGGAGATACGTTCTGATATCGTCGTAAGCTGCCTCGTCGGCGGACAGAACCAGGGGGCGACAAATTTGAGATGTCTCCTTGGTTTCTAGAACTTCTCGGAGGTGTGGTTCCGGACGGCTGATGACCAGCATGCGAACGGGAAGTCGACGAGCGCGGATTGCCTCAATGAAGAGACGGAGAGTCTGTTGTTGAACTTTGTGATCTTGACATTCGTCCAGACCATCGAGGACAACTATCGGCAGAGCTTGAGGTGCGGGGTGATTTGCAAAAGCCTCCACCAGCAGCTTCTAAAATTGCACTGTCATGGACCGCCCATTTATGAGCTTATCTCCATCCACTGTCAGCTGAATTTGAGGGAGGAGCTCCGGCACTGAGATCGAAAGCTGATAGGCAATGGTAGTGAATAGTCCGTTCCATGTTCCGCACTTGGGATGTCCTCGGCGGAAGAAGAACGAAGCTCCGAGGCGCCCCTGCTTTTGGGAGTTGCCAGCGAACTTCTGCGCAATAGCAGACTTCCCGATGCCGGCTGAGCCGTTCAACCAGAGAAGAGTACTCTCCGGCGTCGTATCGATAGACCAGGTTTGCAAAGCCTCCAGTATGGAAGTCCGTGTCCCTGAATGACAAGCCGGCTCGGGAAATCGTTCTCCGGAGTCATGCAGAGCCTCCTGGACGACATTTCGGCGGAGTAGGTCCATCCCTACAATATAGTGCGTCAGTCAGTCGCAACAACCAACCGATCAAAGAACGCACCGGATCCTCCGTGCGAATTCACAGTAACTTGGGTCATGTCACCCCCGACATTGTTCCAAATGGTCGGCTCGGGGTGAAATGGATG